CTTTTTCTCGGGGTCTGAGGCCGAGGCTGAGTCCGACGCCACGCTATCTTGGCTCGTGTCGTCCTCCACACTCTCCTTCAAGGACGAGGCCGTGGCGTCCTCGTCCTCCTTCAGCTTCTTGGCTTGCTCCTGCTCCTCCTCCTCCTCGGCAGGTCGCTTCTCGGGCGTCATTCCGGCGGAAAACAGGGTATTTCTCAGGTCTTTTGAGTCACAGCTCGGCGTCCCGGCACCAAACACTCGCGATGTCCGGATCCTCGCGCTCTTGACTTCAGTTAACTTACTACGCTCGCAAATTATTCGTCTTGCGGTTTTGCATAAATGGTGTATTTATGTTTTTTCTATATTAGCGGGCCTTGTCGGGTGTAATGTGTTGTGCAGGGAGGACGGGGATGTTCTTGGAGAGGAGTTTGTGCTTTTAAAGGCGCTTGGGTTGAATTAAATGACTGTACTCTCTTCAAACCCAGAGATGCCAATAAAAAAAAGAATCATTTCAGCTAAACGTCGCATCATATCAAAACCGTATATCCTATTCTATATACATACAAATCCCTCGTTAAATCCAACAAAACTAAGTCCAGAGAGACAGAAGATAACAAATAACAATAATAAAAAACAACGCAAAACCAATCACCAGCAACTCAATAATTGAACACATGCATAATTAAAAAATACAGATAAAAAACCATAATAATAATACAAGTAGACCCAAAGTCAAACCCAACACCCTTCAAAAACAACAATCTAAAGGACCCAATCACCAATAACCTAATAACAACGATAATAATCCAATAAACACGTGAATAATTCAAGCCGACCGGGTTTAAAGTCGTGCGAACAGTTTCAAATAATTCTCTTCCTCTTCCTCTTCTCCTTTTCTTTTGTTAAGGTTTGCGAGGCCGCGCCATCTGTCTCGCCGGCGGGGAACTCTCTCTTATTAGGGCAGATATTGGCTGTTTATTTCATTAGGAAGTTGGGATTGTTAACGAAGAAGGGATATGGGTGGTGGGTGATACGGCTGGCACAGCGGACGGAGAAGAGGAGGAAGGATAAGGAAAGAGGTAGAGAGAGGGAGAGGAGGAAGGAGTCTTTTTGAATAGGGGCGGGCGGAGGGTCCCTCTCTTTTCCCTCTCTCTCTCTCTCTCTCTTTTCCCTCCCTCCCTCCTCCCCCCATCCCTATGCTAAGCGAGTCCCTCCTTCCTCCCTTTCCTTCCCTCCCTCCCTCCCTCCCCCTTGGTTGCGCGAGATCGACATTTCCCGCAAATCTTAAAGCATGAATGTTTTAGAATTACGGGACCGGGCGAGAGAGATCCCGGCCCGGCACAGCGCAGCATTAGCGAGGAGGAAGAGGAGGGAGGGAGGAAGGGAGGAGGAGGAGGAAAGGAAGAAGGGAGAGGAAAAGCATTGTAGATGAAATAGAACAGGTAGAGGAGGTGGAAGAGAATTAGAAGAGGAAGAAGACGAAGAAAGTGTAAGGAGGAGAAACTAAAGGAGTAAAGGGGTTAGATGATTGATTGTGGTAATGATGAGTGATTATGATGATGACAATGGTGATGTGGATGAGGAGGAACAGGAAGAACTGAATGCAGAAGAGGAAGAGAGGAAATACACCCTCATTGAAGAGCATACTTGTCTATGTGGGGACACAAGGACTTTAAAACAGCATTCCATGACGCGCAGACATATATATTGCATGGCGCTACTTGAGTCGGCGTTTCCCTCACTCCCGCAGCGCATTCTAGCCGCCTTTTAAAGCGAGGCGAGATGGCGAATCGCGCGGAAATACGGGAGTATGATGGCGTTACAACTGGCAACCGTCGCCGGGAGGAGCAGGTACCGGCAGGGGAGGGGAGGAGCGTGGACGGGAAGGGGGGGGGAGGCAGATGGGGAGGGAATGGGAGGTAGGGGTAGAGGTGAGGCTTGGGGGAAGGGGTGGTAGAGTAGGGTAAAAGGGGAGAGGTGAGAGGTGGAGGGTTATGAGGGTAGACAGAGAGGGGGGGGAGGAGGGAAAGGAGAGCAGAGGAAGGGGAGAGAAAAGGAGGGTGAGGGGAGGGGGGTGTAGAAGAGGAGGGAAGGAAGGACGGGGAGCGAGAAAGAGAGGGAGGGTTTTACTACTCCAAGCGGGGCGGCGTTGTGGGGGGAGAAAGAAGAGAGAGAGTGGGGGAGAGTGAGAGAGAGAGAGCAGGGAGTAACACGCTCTTTACTCACTTGTACGGGAAACCCACACTGCCAGGCACTACACACAGCATGACTTCCCTTGCCGCTCGCGCCTCACTCGCTTAGTGTGAGCATACTTTCTTCAACCAATGACAGCTTCGTACACTATACTAAACACTTACCACGCTTGTTCACACAGAGGCAACACCCTCAGTATATTACGGATCGCTTGTTCCTCTTTATGTTCCGTAGAAATCATGTTTTGCTACGATTCTCACCCTTATGTGATATCTGTATCTTTTGAAAACCACCAGATTATCGATATGCTGCATGTGAACACTAATTA